ATGGGTTTGGGGTTGAAAACTCAGGCCCTCGTGACAGCTGAATCAACTGTCCAACCATGGTGGCTGTTATTCTAAACAACAAAGAGAGAGCCTGAGACCAGTGTCAACTCAGAGCCAGCCAGCTCATTGTGCCTTCCTCCCTCAATACCGGCTGTTCTTCAGTAGGGCTGACGGATGTTAGACATTCTCACCCCCCATCCCCCCATCCCCGTGAACACGTGGCCAGGCACATGACATCAGCCAGGCTGTCTGTGTGCTGCAGTACTGGGGGCAGCAGGACTAGGTAGGAGTAGCGTTTTGCTGGCATGGCATAGGACACACACACACACACACACACACAGAACAAGGTCACAATCCTAAATTCTGGGCCTGACCTGGCAGTGTTCCAGGGCAGAGAATGATGAAACAAAGGCTCATTACAGGCAGCAGGAAAGGGCCTTCAAGGTAGCTGCTTCTTGCCATTCATGGGGCTGTTCCTTAGGGAGGCGTGCGGCCAGAGGGGCCCGAGGTTCAGGAAGCGGATTTGTAGCAGCCAGCACTTCCTGGCCTGCTCTGGGCATCAGTAGGATGGAAAGAGCTCAAAGGAACCTCAATGGCTAATTCTTCATCCATCTCCTCAGCCGAAATATAAAGATCCCATTCAGAGCTGCCCCTGCAGTGGAACATACTTTGGGACACACACAGCATTGTGCACAGGGACATTTCCTATAACCAAGCAAAAGCCATAGAAAGGCCCTTTCAGTTCACTGCAAAGCAAGCAGGACTCTGTCTGTTCAAGCCAGACGATCTTTGTCTCGTATGTCTGGTAGCTCCAGTGACCTGCCTGGAGGCTACAGGAGTTTTCAGATGCCCTTGAGTCCATCATTATTTACACATGCCTATATTAAAAACATATATGTCTGCATGTAAATGTTTTTTTTTCAAGTGTAGGGTTCAAATCAAGAATCATACATGCCACTGAACTACAACCTAAGCCTCTACGTTTTTTTGAGACAGTGGCTCACTCCATAGTCCTGGCTGACCTGGCACCCACTGTGCAGCTCAGGCTAGCCTCAAACCCTTACAGATTGTTCTGCTCAGCCTCATGAGTGCTGAAATTACATATGTGATCTATCATGCTCAGTTTGCAAACAGGTATTCCTAAATATAGTTTACACACTTAAATGCACACACACACCTATGTGAATCACACTCCGTCTTACTGTTTCTTTTTGGTTGTTGCTTCTGTTTTGTAAGACAAACTCTCATGTAGCTCAGGTAGAGACTCAAATGCTCTTAGTAGTAGGGGATAGACCTTCACCTCTCAGTCTTCCTGTTCTACCTCCCAGGTTCTGGAATTGCAGGCATAGACCATCACATCTGGCTGAAGTCACACTCCTGACTAAACTATGCACCATTAGCATTCGTGAGGGACACCCTTGGTTGTAAGAATAACAATATGGTTTCCATTTGTTAGTTTCTTTCTAAAAGTTGAGCCACCAAATAACTTCTTCTACCTGTAATGGCTACACCTGCGATCCCTTTTCTACTGTGAGTGCCTATTTTTTTTTTTTTTTTTTAAACCTTTCTTGAGTAACTCTGTCATGTGTCAGGTACTTTTCTGAGGTCCTCGATTATAGCAACAGAGCAAATAGTTAGAGGTCCACGGTTTGGCAAGGTTTGTACTTTAGTTAGGAGACTAATGGAAACAACAAGGGAGAAGCTCCCCCCTGTGTGTCTGGGGAAGTGGTGTTGGGAAGGGCTTCCCCAGAAATGGCCTTCTTGGGGAAGGATTTCTAGGCAGAGCAAATGCCTACTCTTGGTACACTGCTCCTAGCTGGCCGAAGCTGGCACTGATTAGACGGACCCAGGTCTCCCTCTCGGTACCTACACCTGCTCAGAGGAACTGGAGAAACACAAGCTACCGTAGTGAACTTACTGTCTTAGAACTTTCATATTGCTGTGAGGAGACACCGTGACCATGGCCACTCTTACAAAGGAAACATTTAATTGGGGTGGCCGCTTAGAGTTTCAGAGGTTCAGTTCATTTCATTATTATCAGGGTGGGAGCATGGGAGTGTGCTGGAGGAACGGCTGAGAGACCCACATCTTGCAGGCAACAGGAAGTCATTTGAGACACTGGGCGGTATCCTGAGCATGGAAATCCTCAAAGCCCGCCCCCACAGTGACACACTTCCTCCAACAAGGCCACACCCACCTAAGCAAGGCCACACCCACCTAAACAAGGCCACACCCACTAACAGTGCCACTCCCAGCCAGTTTATGGGAGCCAATGGCCTTCACACTACCACACTCACTTTGGTGACCCTTATGCCCAGAGACTCCAGGTGGGGCTGGGCAGCTGAGGACTTTCCTGTCCCCGGTGTCACTCATTCTCTTACTCCACAAAACGGCCAGTTTCCAGCAGGTGCTTTGCTGACATCAGTTACCCACTCACTTCCTATTTCACCGAAACAAAAAACAAACAAAAGAAATCCAGGCCATTAACATGGCTTCTATTCTATTAGTAAGATCTCAGTATCATTGTCCTTACTGACCCACCCATTACTCAAATCCTTCCCCTCTGTGCCCTGCAGGTCAGGCCCCGCCTCCACTCCACATCCACAGTGTTCTCGCCACAGGCCCTGCTTGTACCTCCAGTATGTTTTCAATTTCTATCTTTTGTGGTACTGAGGACCAAACTCTCGGTCTTTCTCATGCCAGGCGAATGGTCTCCCATTGAGACACATCTCCAAGCCCTCTTTTTACTTTTAATTTTGAGATAGGGTCTCACTAAGTTGTTCAAGCTAGCCTTGAACTCAATTTGTAGCGCAGGAAGGGCCTTGGACTTATGAATCTCCTGACTTACTCTCTTGAGAATCTGGGATTACACCACCAGACCTAGCAATATTTTTCTCCTTAAACAACTGGTAGGCAAGAATGAACACATCTTTTAAGATTATCCACTTATCAGTCATTCATTAATTCATCCCTTCATTTAGTGTGTGTGTGTGTTAGGTATAGTTTCTGGAAATCAAACCCAAGTCATCAGGCTGGGCAGCAAATGCCTTTTACCCACTGAACCATCTCACTAGCCCCAAAAACATCCTCCGAGAGACTAGTCAACAGAAGTTTTCCAATACACGAAACAGACAAAACTGGCCTACCTTAAATAACTGTGGCTGGTATTCTAAATGTCATGGGCAGAATTGGAACAATCTTGGTCTCTTCAGTATTGAACAGCAACACTAAAACATTCATAGCTTCCTGACCATTTTGGGCATTGCTCCTGGGCGTTTTGCTTACAGTATGTCTGCACATCATATGCATGCAGTGTCTAGAGCAGCGAGCAGAGGGTGTTGGAGATGGTTGTGAGCCACCATGTGGGTAGTGGGAATAAAACCCAGGTCCTCTGGAATAGCAGCTAGTGCTCTTAACTACTGACTCACCTCTTCAGCCCATTTCCAGTACTTCTAAGAATCACAATCACATACATGATGGTGAATAGAGACACCATCTTCATAAGCTGCTGTTACTGTTTTTGTTGTTGTTTGGGGGATGGAACCCAGGTCCACAGGTATGCCCAGCAGGTGTTCTACCACTGGGCTGTAACTCCCAAAATTCTTTTAAAATAACAAATATTTAATTCTGGGCAAGAGAGATGGCTTGGCAATTAAAGCACATATTGTTCATGCACAGAAGTGGAGTTCAGTACCCAGTACTTACACAGGGTGCTGTACTAAAATCACCCAGCTCTGGGGTATCTGATTCCCCCCCCTCTCCCTCTCTCTCTCTCTCTCTCTCTATATATATATATATATATATATATATATATATATATATATATATATTTCCTTGCTCCTTGTCATAGTCCCGTAGAGAGTCACCAAGACATACATGCTCAACCAAACCCTGGATAACTGACCAGCTGGCAAACAAAAAGAATATACAGATGAATACACTGCTGGAGTTGACCCTTCATATCTAAGTTCCGCATTTGATCAACAAGGGTGGAAAACACTCAGAAAAGGAAAAACAAAAAACAAAAAAACTGTGTTTGTTTTAAACATACAGATTACATTTCCTTGTCATGATTCCATCTGCTAGAGCTCAGGGAAGACCCCGAATCAGGAGGTAGCAGGCAGGGTGGCCAGAAGTGAAGCAACGTTTTTTAACTAAGTCCCAAGTAAGCCTTAAGGGTTGGATTTCACAAGCGACAGACCTGGAATTTGCTGTAGATCACTGTGGCTACTGCAATGTTAAAAATGTAAACTATCCCAGAGAGTATCCTGAACCATGGGGGGCGGGAAGGAGGGGGAGCAGAAAAGACAGGCCTGGAACCCTGGACCAGCTTGGGGTTCAAGAGTCTCCAAATGGACGATAAGCCTGTCTGGGCACACGTAGGATGTGCAACCCAAGTGTGCTCCAAGGCATCCTTTTAACAACAACTCCTGCCCCTTTTCTTTCTTTCAGAGGATCTGAGCTTCCTTCCATGCTTTGCTGAAGATTCAGACCGCTGGGACTCCTGTCCTTATCTGCCTTGGTTGGCTTCTCTGTCAAAGAGGACCAGCCACAGCAACATCGGTTTGCAGCTCTCTGGGGAAAGTGGCGGCCTTGAGCAGCGACACCAAACTCCAGCACACTAGTTTCCTCCCTGGATACTTCCCCCAGCGCTGCCAGGGGTGGAGCCCGTGGGGCACGCGCGAGGGGACGGTGGGGAGGCATGGCTCGGCTCGTCCCTGACTCTTAGGCGGAGGCGGCGGCGAGCTCTCTACAGTCTGCACCAAAGCACGGTGCAAACCGCCGGCCGGTCCCTCTCGGTGCCCAGCGCGGGACGCCACGGCCACAGGCCTGCAGGGGGCGCCCGCGCCCCGCGCCGTCCCGCCCTCCGAGCCTCTGCCTGCGCCCCTGGGCGGCCCGGGGCGGGCGCAGAGGGCCAGCAAACTCCGGGGATTGACTACCCGCGCTCACTTCCGCGTCCCGCCGCCGCCATCGGACAATGGGCCGCGCGCCGCCGCTGCTGTGAGCTCTGCTGGGCTCGGCCACCGGCCCCGGGCCAGCCGCTGCCCCGTGGGTTTGCAAGTTCGGTTGCCTGGCCTGGATGTGGATTTGCTTTTTCTGTTTTCATTCTCCGTCTTCTTTCGTCTGTATTTTTTGGTTTTATGTCTTAGAGGGGGGGAAAAAAAAGAACTTTTCAAAGCAGGCCTTTGCACAGCTGAAGGCTACTCTGCCCCCACGTGGATGCGGACGTGGACGCGGACGCTCCCCCGGGGAAAGAAGTCTGGAAGTAAACTTACCTAGCTGGCCTGAAGGCCTCAGCTTTGGTTGGACTGTAAGTTTTGGAGTCATGACCTTCTCCCTGGGCAGGTGGGAGTCTCTGTCTGCTTTGGGCTGGACCTGAACCTCGGCTGGCACCCACTTCTCCCCACCCCAATCACATCTTGTACCGGAGCTAGGCCCCGGACACTGATCTGCAGCATGGATAAATATGACGACCTGGGCCTGGAGGCCAGTAAGTTCATCGAGGACCTGAACATGTACGAGGCCTCCAAGGATGGACTCTTCCGAGTGGACAAGGGTGTGGGCAACAACCCTGAGTTTGAGGAAACTCGAAGGGTGTTCGCGACCAAGATGGCCAAAATCCATCTCCAGCAGCAGCAGCAGCAGCAGCAGCAGCAGCAGCAGCAGCAGCTCTTACAGGAGGAGGCCCTGTCTAGGGCAGGCAGAAACCCTGTGAACGGTGGGAGCCGTCAGGGTGTGAACAGCAAGCTGGCCGCAGATGGTGCCGCCAAGCCCCCCTTGGCTGCGCCAGCAGTGGCACCTGGATTAGCCAACACCACTGTGGCCCTGCAGCCCTCATACCCGTCTCAGGAGCAGAGGGCCAGGCCATCTACCCATGGTGCAAGGCCTGGCAATCAGAACTGTGGTTCCAGGGAGGCGCCTGTGAGTTCCCAGAGGCCCGCTTTACACAGCCTGGGTCCCTGTGAAGACCCTTCCTGCCTCACTCATGGAGACTATTACGACAATTTCTCTCTGACGAGCCCACAGTGGGGAGATAAGCCAGAAGTGTCCCCCAGCATGAATCCGAGTGTAAGGAGTGGGTGGCCTGATTGCCCAGGGAATGATTCCGCATTGCCCAGATCCTGCGGGGACCATTACCCTTATGAGCCACAACTCCCTGTGTGCTCTGGCAGGCCTTTTGAGAGTGCCATCAGTGGCCAGGATGGTGGCATTAGTGGCCACAGCAATGTGAGGCCAACAGGCCTTTGGTCGACTGCCTCCTCTCAGCGCGTGAACCTCGGCTTTTCCTCTCTGGGCTTGGAGAACGGGGCCCCAGGTCAACCCAAGAGCACAACTGTTTCTGCACCTCCGGATCCTAACAGCACTAGCCAAGGAGCGTGTCTGAGAAGAGATTCAGGTCTGGGATGTGAGGATTCAGGCAGAGCCCTCCCTACTGTGGATGCTCAGCCTTGGCTCCAGGATGGCCCTAAGTCTTACCTCTCTGTTTCTGCTCCATTACCCTCAACAACTGTCAAGGGCAGCACCCAGCCAGGTATGACCCCCGAGCTGGGTCCTAAGCCTGGATGCATGGACTCTGGCACTGGTCCCAAGCCCAGCCCCGCCAGCCTTGTCCATCCGGTGATGTCCACTCCGTCTGAGTTACCTTGTAAAGAGGGTCCTCCCAGCTGGTCCAGCGACAGTAGCCTGGGACCTGTGCTTCCAGAGAGCTCTACCCCCACCAAGGTGAGGTTGCCCTGCCAGACCCTGGCACCAGGTCCCGAGCTTGGACCCTCCACTGCGGAGCTGAAATTAGAAGCGCTTACCCAGCGTCTGGAGCAAGAAATGGATGCTCATCCCAAAGCAGATTACTTTGGTAAGTGAGATACTTGTGGAATTGCCCGTGGTAGGGTGATGGGGTCCCCACCAGAATGCTATGGCTGCTCTTGAATTGGTCTGCTGCTACTACTACTACTACTACTACTATTATTATTATATTCCTCTTTCAACCGATTCTGGTCTGCTATTATTATTATTATTCCTCTTTAACCGCTTGTTTAGAGAGCTGTGAGCAGAAAGCAGCCTTCATATGCGAGGGAGTTACCCATGTGTGAACCAGGGGTGAATTGTTCACAACTGCTCTCACAAAAAAGGAAGTGCTGTGACTTCGGGTTCCAGGGCTTCGAGGTGACACCTCAAGCCTCTCCCACTGAAAGGCTTGGGCTGGACTTGAATGGGGGAGTGTTTTCCCCAGTGCCAGAGATGTGGTTGTTCTACTCACAGCCACCGTGTGTGAGGGAGCGGAATGTGAGGCTTTTGATACTTGACTGCTGTTCAGCAAGGCAGTTCCGCAGGTAGGTCCGGGCCAGCCTCATCTCTCTGCCTAGATAGGTGCTGGTTAGAAGTGGAATTCTGTAGCTTCCCCTTGGACCTAGGACCCTGCGGGGTCACTTGAGCCAATGTGCCAGGTGCCTCTTGACTCAGCTCACACCTAGGTACTAGCCAGCAGCAGAAGGTGACCCTGCTGGGCAGAGACACCAGAACCCGGTTTGTTAGGTCCTTTCCCGAGGTACCAGCCAGCAGCCAGCTGATACCCACAGGTGTGGCCTGAACCAGGATGAAGAAACTTCTTGAGGGTTTTGCTCAGGCTTGGCCAATTTCATTCTCTCTTCTAAAAAAGTAAATTGGACTCTTTTGAGACTGCTGCCTTCAGCTTTTTTTTTTCTCTGCATGGGGTTTGGAGGCAGCAAGAAAAATATCTGTATTCCTCCATTGAAAACAATTGCCAGCCCCGTGGGAGAATGGCTTGGGAAGGCAGCCTGTGCTTAGAAGTCTGTGGCTTTTTTCATCCTTTTAATTTTTCCTCTATTTTTGGCCTCTGAGTAAAGGGCTCATGATTTCTCCATAGTCCAAGTCCTACCAAGTAGCAGCTTTCCCAAACAGAGGGGTGCTGGATCAGGGGGTGCCCTTGGAGAGAAAGGTGCTGGCTTCCTTCCACTCTCTGAATGAACAGATCTGCCCCGAGGCCCCAGGAGGGTCCAAGGAGTGGGACCATGGGCATATATGCAGTTCATAGTAGCACTGGGGTTTGCTCATCGTAAGCTGCCCTGGGACCCAGTGCTCAGGACACTCAGCACTCAGAGGTCATGGTTGCTGTGAACTGTTTCTCCTTAGGTTTATTTTATTGTTATATTTGGGTGTTCTGTCTGTGCACATGGCCTGTGCACCACACGCATGTCTCATGCTGGCAGAAGTCAGAGGAGGGCGTCGGATTGCCTGGGACTGGAGTCACAAATGGGTTTGAGCCCCCATGTGGGTGCTGGGAGTCGAACCATGGTCCTCTGCAAGAGCAACAGGTGTTCGTAATTGCAGAGCTAACTCTCCAGCTCCTGGTTTATTTTATTTTATTTATTTTTTTAATCCTGCTGTGAACCTCATCTTGTTTTGCAAGGCATGGCCTTGAAAAATAACATTTAGCTGGAGATGCTGGGGGTCTTTTAATTTAAACTTACTTAGTTCTTAATTTAAAGCTCGTGGAACAAAAAGCGTTTTATTATTTCAGGGGTGCTGGTTTATGCTCGTCATCAGAGCAATGATATTGACCCATACCGTTTATTCATTCAGCCTCCAACCACTGATCACCTGTCTGGGGTTGTGCTGTGGGCTAGGCCTTGGGAGTGCACAGTAGGTGAGCAGCCAATACAGTATAAGCAGAAGGAAATGATCAAGTACCAGGGAGAGGAATATTAGGTATAGGGTAGGGATGAAGCCTCGTCCTAAGGGTGACATTACTTGTTTCAAATTGAGTCATAAAGTGAAGTCTCAACTGGCGTTTGGGCAAGAGCCTGAAGGAGGCAAGGGATGGATGCAGGACCACTGTACTTTGTAGGGAGAGGGCCGAGGCTCTGAGTCTGCCTTGTGCAGCTTTGATGGTGGGTTGTCTTTCTAATTTCTCTTGGTCTGATCAAGTGGCAGAAAAAATTCCTCCCTTTAAGGACTCATCCGGCAAGTCTTAACAGACCATGCGCTTTCCTAGGCAGCACCTCCTTTGCCTAGAAAACCAGTGGACTAGGCCTTTCCCCTTCCCCAGCTCTCAAAGCATTTGCAAGATTTGGTATATACTAAATTATGGTTAACTTTTACTTCCAGGTAGAATAATATTTCAAGGCACAGCACCTTTGCCCGAGGGAGCTGAAGTATTCTCCATCAGTCAGTAGGACTCTAGAAGCAAACGAGATATTTGGTTTGTTATCCTAGATACCTTTCTGGAACAGACTGTGGGTGTCTCTGGGGTATCTGACTCTGGGCAGAACTTAATGCCGCTCTCCTTCACCTCCTGTGAATGCTGTTGGATTCTGAAGATGCCTAGTTTCTGGCTACTTAATGATTTTTTTAAATTGTATTAAAGAGGGAGGGGGTAGGAAAGTACCCGAGTGCCATGGTGTATGTGTGGAGATCAGAGGGAAACTTGCAGGAGTCAGCTCTCTCAATCTGCCCTGTGGGCCTTGGAAGCAGGCTTGGCATCAAGGGCATATACCTTTTGAGCCATCCTGCTGGTCCTAGTTTTTGGTTATTTATTAGCTCAGCAATAAGGGTACTCCTGGAACTTTGCATGGATGTCTGTGTGTGTGTGTGTGTGTGTGTATTTTAAATTAATTAATTAGTTAATTTTTTTTTTTTTTTGAGAAAAGTCCGCACTCTATAGCTTAGATTGTAGCTCTCAATTACCTTCCCGTCTCCGATTCCTGAGTGCTGGGATTATGGATATCAGCTACTGCACCTGGGTTCTTTATGCGCCTAGACAGGGCCATGTTTCCCTCCACTCCTCCTGTTTTTCATTTTGATCTGACACCCAAATGATTGTGGGTACTTATGAGTCAATGAGCAGCATATACCATTTCAGCACAAACTACGGGGAGCAGGTGAGGGCACAAGGAGGCCTTTGTCACTTGTGTTTCATGATTCCGTTTTCATTCTCTGGAAATGTTCAGTCACTTCTCCTCATCATCATCGCCCGCCCCCCCCCCCTGGTGTGCCAGACTCGGTCCCTCCGGTCCCTCCTGGCCCTCATCCTCTTTCCACCAAGTGCAGCCCTTGCTCCGCCCTGGCAACACTGTTCTATTATCTGCTTCTTTGAGATTAACCCATAAACTCTTGTGTCTGTCTGGATGTCCGTGTGTGGTGTTCATTTCTCTCTGCCTGATTTACTTCTTTTCTCATGGTGAAAGAAGCCATCCATGCCGTCAGAGGTGCTTTGGGACTCCCAGCCTCCCTGATGCTCATTACTCGCTGAAGAGAATGTTCTCACAGTGCCGCTCTTGCCGCAGGGAGGCAGGGAAGGCGGCACCATAGATTTGTTTAGTGGGCCCCCAATTTTTTCTCCTCGACTCCGGTCCTCTCCTCCCTTTCTAAGGAAAAGGGACACAAACAAAGAGCCATCCCAGCCTGGCTTTCTTTGAGGCTAACTCTGAAACTTATCTTGGAGGGTACTCACTAAGTGGTTCTCTTGGGGTCCACATCTGACCCCATAGGGAGCTGGCAAAGTTCCCCCAGACATCAGCTACTGTGTGTGGGCCATTTTGGGAGTAGATGACCTTGGCTGGAGTGTCTTCCTAGGGGCTGACGACAGGTGCTAGCTGTCTGTCAGTCTCACACTAGCTTTATAAACAGTGGAGCAAGGTCACAGCCCTACTTCTGGTGCTGGAAAGAACATGTGACCTTGGATACCCCAGCTCTGATAGTAGCTGCTGTCCACCGAAGGCCAGGCGTTGAGTTAAGTGCTTGGGACCTTCGCAGCCAGCTGTGGCGCAGGCACCATTGTCCTCTGTCCTAAACAAGGAACCGTGGTGAAAAGGTTCAGTGACTTGATGGCAGACTGCCCTCACCGCTGCTTTTTCTTCCGGGGTGGGGTTCCCAGTGGCTTATATGTCTTCTGTTCATCTACCCCAGAGAGCACGTGCACTGCCCCCTCTGGTAGGCGCCCCACTGAGGGTGTAAAGGAAAGAAAACATAGGTCGTAGACGACAGACCCCCTCCCTACCTACAAAGACCCAGAGACTGACTCTGATATCATTTGAGTGGCTGTGCATCCTAAAGAAGCCAGCACAAGCTGTCCGGTCAGTTCTTCCAGGTGGCATTTTTCTTGTCTTTTACTGTTTCGAGACAGGGTCTTTCTTATGTAGCCCAGGCTAACCTTGAGCTCTTTATGTAGCTGAGGATGGATGACCTGGGACCTGCTGATCCTCCTGACTCCACCTCCCGAGTGCTGGAGTTACAGGCACCCAGTCCTTCAGTGCATCTTACCTGACTCCCGTGGCGGGTATGAAGTGAGGGGCTGAATTCCAGCTGGGGTGGAAATAACAGGCAAGATCATGATGACGTGGGCTAGATCTAACAGAGGAGCTCCTTCAGGTTGCTAGAACAGGGCGGCTTTTTCACAACAAGCACAGCCTATCCTTAGCACCAGGTGACTACGGAGCATTATTGCACCATCCCAGAAGCCTCTGGAACCCTTACTGTCATTATTGCCCTCTGGAATTCGCAGCAGAAAATGTAGATCTGAGGTAGGATACGATGACATGGAAATAAGTAAAAACATACCGTGATGTGTTTGGGGGCGAATGGGAGTTCCGTGGGTCATCGAGTAAGGTGGTCTGGGAGGGGCCAGGGGTTGTCACATCAGCACAAAGAAAGAAAGCCCTGTTGCAGGTTCTTCGAAGAGCAAGTGACAGAGGTGCCTTCTGTATGGTCGGTGGTCAGGACTCAGACAACAACGTGGTCTTCTGTGTCTTCTGGAAGGCTGTGACGTTCACCCAAGCTTCAGCCCTTTGCCCGCCCAGCCCCTCTTTCCTGGCACCTCCCTTCAGAGATGTCAAG